CCTTAGAAGCGTGATGCCACCTAGAAGCTTGATGCCACATAGAGGCGTGATGCCACATAGAGGCGTGATGCCCCCTAGAAGCGTGATGCCACCTAGAAGCGTGATGCCCCTTAGAAGCGTGATGCCACATAGAAGCTTGATGCCACCTAGAAAAGTGGTGGCAGATAGAAGCGTGATGCCCCTTAGAAGCGTGATGCCACCTAGAAGCGTGATGTCCCGTAGAGGCACAAGGCCTTCTAAAATCCTGATGCCTCTAGGAAGCGTGGTGCCCTTAGAAGCCCAATGCTGATAGAAGCCCGATACCCCTAGAAGCGTGATGCCACCTGGAAGCGTGATGTCTCTTAGAAGCGTGATGTCTTTTAGAAGCGGGATGTCTTTTAGAAACGTGATGTCTTTTAGAAGCGGGGTGTCTTTTAGAAGCGGGCTTCTCTTAGAAGCGTGATGTCTCTTAGAAGCGGGATGTCTCTTAGAAGCGGGATGTCTTTTAGAAGCGTGATGTCTTTTAGAAGCGTGATGTCTTTTAGAAGCGTGATGTCTTTTAGAAGCGGGGTGTCTTTTAGAAGCGGGCTTCTCTTAGAAGCGTGATGTCTCTTAGAAGCGTGATGTGTTTTAGAAGCGTGATGTCTTTTAGAAGCGTGATGTCTTTTAGAAACGTGATGTCTCTTAGAAGCGGGATGTCTTTTAGAAGCGGGATGTCTATTAGAAGCGTGATGTCTTTTAGAAGCGTGATGTCTTTTAGAAGCGTGATGTCTTTTAGAAACGGGATGTCTTTTAGAAGCGTGATGTCTTTTAGAAGCGGGATGTCTTTTAGAAGCGTGATGTCTTTTAGAAGCGGGATGTCTTTTAGAAGCGGGATGTCTTTTAGAAGCGGGATGTCTTTTAGAAGCGTGATGTCTTTTAGAAGCGTGATGTCTCTTAGACGCGTGATGTCTTTTAGAAGCGGCATGTCTTTTAGAAGCGGGATGTCTTTTAGAAGCGGGATGTCTTTTAGAAGCGTGATGTCTTTTAGAAGCGGGATGTCTTTTAGAAGCGGGTTGTTTTTTAGAAGCGTGATGTCTTTTAGGAGCGGGATGTCTTTTAGAAGCGGGATGTCTTTTAGAAGCGGGATGTCTATTAGAAGCGTGATGTCTTTTAGAAGCGGGATGTCTTTTAGAAGCGGCATGTCTTTTAGAAGCGGGATGTCTCTTAGAAGCGTGATGTCTTTTAGAATCGTGATGTCTTTTAGAAGCGTGATGTCTTTTAGAAGCGTGATGTCTTTTAGAAGCGGGATGTCTTTTAGAAGCGTGATGTCTTTTAGAAGCGTGACGTCTTTTAGAAGCGGCATGTCTTTTAGAAGCGGGATGTCTTTTAGAAGCGGGATGTCTTTTAGAAGCGGGATGTCTCTTAGAAGCGTGATGTCTTTTGGAAGCGGCATGTCTTTTAGAAGCGGCATGTCTTTTAGAAGCGGGATGTCTCTTAGAAGCGTGATGTCTTTTAGAAGCGGCATGTCTTTTAGAAGCGGGATGTCTTTTAGAAGCGGGATGTCTTTTAGAAGCGGGATGTCTTTTAGAAGCGGGATGTCTTTTAGAAGCGGGATGTCTTTTAGAAGCGTGATGTCTTTTAGAAGCGTGATGTCTTTTAGAAGCGTGATGTCTCTTAGAAGCGTGATGTCTTTTAGAAGCGGGATGTCTTTTAGAAGCGGGATGTCTTTTAGAAGCGGGACGTCTTTTAGAAGCGTGATGTCTTTTAGGAGCCGGATGTCTTTTAGAAGCGTGATGTCTTTTAGGAGCGTGATGTCTTTTAGAAGCGGGATGTCTTTTAGGAGATGGGATGTCTTTTAGAAGCGTGATGTCTTTTAGGAGCGGGATGTCTTTTAGAAGCGTGATGTCTTTTAGGAGCGGGATGTCTTTTAGAAGCGTGATGTCTTTTAGGAGCGGGATGTCTTTTAGAAGCGGGATGTCTTTTAGAAGCGGGATGTCTTTTAGAAGCGTGATGTCTTTTAGAAGCGGGATGTCTTTTAGAAGCGTGATGTCTTTTAGGAGCGGGATGTCTTTTAGAAGCGTGATGTCTTTTAGGAGCGGGATGTCTTTTAGAAGCGGGATGTCTTTTAGAAGCGGGATGTCTTTTAGAAGCGTGATGTCTTTTAGAAGCGGGTTGTTTTTTAGAAGCTTGATGTCTTTTAGAAGCGGGATGTCTTTTAGAAGCGGGATGTCTTTTAGAAGCGTGATGTCTTTTAGAAGCGTGATGTCTTTTAGAAAAGGGCTTCTCTTAGAAGCGTGATGTCTTTTAGAAGCGGGATGTCTTTTAGAAGAGGGCTTCTCTTAGAAGCGTGATGTCTTTTAGAAGCGGGATGTCTTTTACAAGCGTTATGTCTTTTAGAAGCGTGCTGTCTTTTAGAAGCGTGATGTCTTTTAGAAGCGTGATGTCTTTTAGAAGCGTGATGTCTTTTAGAAGCGTGATGTCTTTTAGAAGAGGGCTTCTCTTAGAAGCGTGATGTCTTTTAGAAGCGGGATGTCTTTTAGAAGAGGGCTTCTCTTAGAAGCGTGATGTCTTTTAGAAGCGTGATGTCTTTTAGAAGCGTTATGTCTTTTAGAAGCGGGATGTCTTTTAGAAGCGTTATGTCTTTTAGAAGCGTGATGTCTTTTAGAAGCGGGATGTCTTTTAGAAGCGTGATGTCTTTTAGAAGCGGGATGTCTTTTAGAAGCTTTATGTCTTTTAGAAGCGTGATGTCTTTTAGAAGCGTGATGTCTTTTAGAAGCGTGATGTCTTTTAGAAGCGGCATGTCTTTTAGAAGCGGGATGTCTTTTAGAAGCGTGATGTCTTTTAGAAGCGTGATGTCTTTTAGAAGCGTGATGTCTTTTAGAAGCGTGATGTCTTTTAGAAGCGTGATGTCTTTTAGAAGCGTGATGTCTTTTAGAAGCGGGATGTCTTTTAGAAGCGGGATGTCTTTTAGAAGCGTGATGTCTTTTAGAAGCGTGATGTCTTTTAGAAGCGGGATGCCTTTTAATAGCGTGATGTCTTTTAGAAGCGTGATGTCTCTTAGACGCGTGATGTCTTTTAGAAGCGTGATGTGTCTTAGAAGCGTGATGTCTCTTAGACGCGTGATGTCTTTTAGAAGCGGGATGTCTTTTAGAAACGTGGTGTGTTTTAGAAGCGTGATGTCTTTTAGAAGCGTGATGTCTCTTAGAAGCGGGATGTCTCTTAGAAGCATGATACCTCATATAAGCGCTTCCCCTACAAGTCCGGTGCCCCCTTGAAGCGTGAGGCAAATGACAACTGTCCAGTTTTCACATGCCTCGAGACGCCACTGACTGCCACTAAATTTGTGTATGGAATTCTAAAAAGATTGAAAGATGTGCACATCTCAAATCAAGAGGCCCGCTCTTATACCACTAGGATTCTTTAATTTACAATAGCTGTGTAAATTTGCCCTAACGTGAAACTAATTTCTTAATAGATGTACTCTGGTCTATTTTATGTTTAAAAAAAATTATAGAGAGTAACAAAAAATTTATATGTAGACGTAAATGTAAAAAATAAATAAATGTATTTCCATTTTTCTTTAACAAAAATGATTCAGTGTTTTAGATAGCAGCTCAAGCCAGGACTTATTTCGCATTGTGGGTCAGCTGACCGGTAAAAACAAGGCTACATCTCTGCAAATAACATTGCTGTAGAAGAGCTGCCAGACCCTCTAAATGACTTCTTTATTACAAAAGCTATGAAGATCAAGGCGAAACTTGACAGTTGCATCGATACTGCTCCGGAATTCTCACTCTTCAACAGCTCTCCTATGGGCGAATTTGTTTAGGTCAATGAAGCGAATGTGAAGAAAATCCTGGCTGAAATCCCCAAGAAAATCATGCTCACTCGACCCTCTTCCAGCAGGGCTGTTGTATGAATGTCTGGATGAAATAGTCCCCATCATCACTTGTATCATAAATCAGTCCTTGACAACTGGTATTGTTCCATCATCTTTTAAAGAGACGATTTTTAATTTTTCTTTTAATGTGGTTGACTTTGTACCACGCTTCGAGCTTCTGGGAATGAAGCGTGTTTTTCAAATAAACCTTATTATTATTACTATTATCATTTAGAATATTCTTTGTTTTTATAAATACAGACTTTTTTTTTCCTCCAAACTTTCGCCGTAGTTACTACGTTTTTTAAAACTTAGACGACGAAATTACGACACTACGACGAGCCAAAAAAAAAAAAATACGGTTCGGGAGTTTTTTCGTTTGCTCGGTTTAATTTTAATTAAACATTTAATCATTTGGGAGTTTTCGGTAAAGAGTTACCGCATTTTTTTGTGTTCACACCGTAATGAATCGAGTAAGAAAAAGCGTGATTGGCCTTTGCGGTCTCGACCTCAATAAACCAACCAGAATCTTGATATTTGAGTGAAGTGCTTTAATACTTAACTACCAATGTGCTTTTTTTGTCGTTAAGTATCAATTTTTAAGACCATATCCTATATATGTATCTGTGTTAACTTACATGAGCAGTTGAGTGGAGTTCCTTACACAACTTGTAGTTCGATTGCAAACCACCCCTCTCCACCCCACTACCGCTTATTGACCAAACTACTCTTTGGAGCGTGAAGCTACTTTTTTTTAGAGTTGAAAACCACTCTGACACTAACCCCTGGGGGGGGGGGGTAAACAGGTCTGTAAATAGCTAAAAAATTGTAAAGCGTAACAGCATAAAATGTGTGAAATGTAAGTCGTTGGCCAAATACCGCTTGTTACCGGACCGGAAATGAGCTAACCTGTCTCACAATGTTAAACCAGTAAAACAATTTATTTTTCCCTTTCGTCACTTTCAACTTCCTTTAAGGTGCGGACTAACGCCCCGAGTCCCGCCTTCCCTATCCTGGTTACGCGACTAGGTTAACCATACAAGAGGGGGAAAAAATCATTCTAGATTGTTTAAAAAAAAAAAAAATTATTCTCAAGGTTGTGTACAGATAACGTGAAATGGTATCGATTCTGAAAATACCCGATTAAAATCCCCCCCAACATAAATGTTGCAAAATATCAGTGAAGGCTTAGCATAAAGAACCACTTTTTAAAAATTTATTTTTTATAACTTAAGCCCAGTTTGAAGTGATCTACGCCTGTAGCAGAGAGAAGTTTTCTTGGTCAGGTTTTTTGTTTAGAAAGCAGGTGAGCATTTTCATGTGTTATACAGTTGTTTTAGTCGCTGCTCTTTTTTTTTTTATTACTTAAAAGAAGAAAAAAAATTAATTAAAAATATTCACTGCCATCGGTTTATTATTTTAAAGTCAAACACCGATCTGAAAAGTTTGACACATTTGAAATTTACAACGTTTAATTATTGTGAACATTTTTCTATTGGCTTCCACGGTGAAGAAAAATAATATAAAGAAATATTTAAATTACAGATTAATTTAGCTTAAATTATTTTAAAAACCTTCGTTTGAATTCTCCTCAACTAGGAGTTTAATAAAAAAATAATAAATCGCGGAGAAAAGAAAAGTAAATAATCTGGAATTTTTGTTATCCATTAAATCTCTTTCTCTTTTTCTCCCTTTCTCTCTATCGCTATCCGTCTCTATTTCTGTTACACCTCTCTATACCTATCACTCCTCTCTATCTCTTATCTCCTTTCTATGTCTTTCACTCTTCTATATATCTATCACTAATCTCTATCAGTCCTCTCGATCTCTATTATTCCTCTCTATAACTAGTATGCCTCTATATCTCTATCACTCCTCTCTACCTACATAACTCCTCTCTAACTCTATCACTCCTCTCTACCTATATCACTCCTCTCTACCTACATCACTCCTCTCTAACTCTATCACTCCTTGCTATGCCTATAATTATTCTATATCTTCATCACTCCTCTCTGTCGCTTTTATTCCTCTCTAACTCTACAACTTCTCTCTATCTGTATCATCACTCCTCTCTGTCTCTATCACTCCCTCTATCTAGATCACTCCTATCTATATCTTTCACTCCTGCTTATCTCGATCACTCCTCTCTATATCTTTCACTCCTGCTTATCTCGATCACTCCTCTCTATATCTTTCACTCCTGCTTATCTCGATCACTCCTCTCTATATCTTTCACTCCTGCTTATCTCGATCACTCCTCTCTATATCTTTCACTCCTGCTTATCTCGATCACTCCTCTCTATATCTTTCACTCCTGCTTATCTCGATCACTCCTCCTCTCAATATGATATCCAGCTTTTTTTTTTTTTTCAATTTTAAAGGACAGGCCTGCACATTTCAAAATGTAAGGCGGGCCGTAATACTTTTGACGCCTGTCATCTATCGGGATGATATGTAATAAAATAAACAATGAGATTATTATATATATGAATACACACACACACACACACACACAACAAAATAAAAGCAAAATTTAGTGTTATTTCGATAATTGTCTATCGCAATAAATGAACTCATGAAGACATTTACAGAGCTGTCGGGGGAAATATTAAATATATCTTCATGAAACTTAGCACAAAATTAGTTTGGGATGTGGGTCCAGGGTCACCAGAGTTTCTAGTGCCCATGAGCAAAATGTTATTCCAATGTTCTCACTGTAAAATGTGGCACAGCTGACGCTATCCCGTAATGTAACACACGGCCGTGTGCACTCGGTGCCACTGCCAGTGTGTTGGTGAACCCCAGATTACAACACGCAAACAGGTGGTACACACCCAGGAAACTCAAAATACACACATAGCACTGAAAGGTCTGCTTGTTACCTTTATCACACTCGTCGGTCATGCTTGTTACCCCCCCCCCCCCCCTAGCCCCCCCCCCCCCCCCCCCCCCCCGCAAACCCCCCCCCCCCCGATAACTCAAGTTTTCCGGGGGGGGGGGGGGCTGCAGGAAGTAAAGTCCGATAGAGAGTGGGCCGCATAAAGTACTGCACAAACAAACGCGGTGGCAAATTCAATAAACAAACAACTGTTGCAACCTGCTCAGCCTTTTTCAATAACAAATAAAAAAAAAACAATAGAGGTTCTCGAAAACTGGGCTTCACCTACTTCCACCTACTCCTTGTTGGCAGAGTCCTGGCAGCGCGTCTTCTTATACAGATGAGTGGGCCGTATTGACACTGAACTTTGCTGTCAGGTATGGCGCCGCAAAATATCGTCTTGCGGGGCGCCAATGGACCGCGGGCGTCGAGTTTGAGACCCCTGTTTTAAGCCAACAGCATTGTGTAAGCGTAGTTGGTCTTTCGGTTGCCTTTGTGTGCATGTGTGTGCGTGCAAATGTTGTTTGTTTCCCCCCTCCCGTATCTGCGGTTGTCAAAATGGGATAGGTGGACACCGGAAATGGGGTGGTACACGGGGGCGCCAGGAACCGGTTAGGGTATACAATATTTCAATTGACATGGCGGAAAACGGAGGCGGCATAGCTTAAAAAGGTTCTCACACCCTTTTATTTTACGAGAAGCTTTATTTTTATTATAGTCGGTGTACTTATAAATGGACAATTTTATCAACGTGTATTGGAGAGAGAAAAAAATTTTGAGCCGCTGGCCGTTGTCCTATATTCATTTCTAAAATGTGCTACATGACACTGAATCACACCGATCAAGCTTTTAATTTTAAATGTTTTTTTTTTTTTTTTTTGTGCAGTCTTTTTGCTTTAATCTTGAAATGACGATTTTTTAAAAGGACATTTAAAATAATAATAATGATAATGCACAAATTATTATTATTATTATTATTTTTAATTTTAAAATTAATTTAATTAGATGATTGTAGACGTTGGCGCAGTAAGAAATTTTACGAGCTCTAGCTCCGCTGCAGCTCCGGGCAACTACAAAAAAAAGAAGAAAACAACAACAAAGATGCTCCAGTGATCCAAGTTTCCCTCATAATCTCTGTAAGTAAGTCATTCCCTAGAAAACATTTGATAAATTCCCAAACCTTGTTATAGTTTTCCATAGAAGCTGCTAACTTTTAGCTTACGCAAAGAGTAAAAAAAAAAAAAGGGAACCAATGAAAAAAATAAACTCAAATATCATTTACTTTTGAAACAAAACATAAATAAATAAACAGTTTTAAATTTTTTTAAGAAATTAGCTTCCCATGTCTACCGAATAAATCATAATTTAACATTATTATTATCATTATAATTATTATTTAGCTTTAGTGTAGTCAGAGTGTAGTACCAATATGAAACTAGTCAGATGACAGTAAATAATATTTTAAAATTTAAAATGAAAGCTCAAATAAGAAAAATACGTATTTCACAAACAACTCCGCCCACCCCCCAAACACACACCAAAATAATTTAATACAAGTATGGTGCAGGAGGGGGGGGGCGAAAGCTCCACCGCAGTGCGCATGTCTCGAGACCAACGATGGGCAGGCAAGGGAAGGGAGGGGAGGGGTTGCCTGCGTCGTCTTGCTTGTGCTGGCGTATGTATATGTAGCCTGCGCTTTGTTGGACGTATTTTTCTCTGGCGAATTATATATATTTATAGAGAGATGTATGGCAAATTAAATACATAAAATTACTGTTCTTGAAATTTAGAAATGTTATAAATTATCTTTACTTATGCAAAAGCCTTGTCTACGCAGCACTATCAGCCATCCAGCATTTGAAATAAAATATTAATTGCACACTGTGTTTGACATTTGCACAAGATTTCCAGCAAGTTCATTAATTTTTTTCAGAACTTTACAGTATCATAACTTACATTTATATTCACAACCATCGCCTGCTAGATTTCTATTTTAAAAAATGTAATTCCAGTTTTTAAAAAACACCAAAAAGCTCAAAAACAAATGTAAAAATTTGTCTTGGTTTTTATCGGGCATTTTCGTTTCTCGAAATTGAGTGCAAGACATTACAGAAGTGAAAATATTATTTTAAAAAATTCGTAAACACTGAGACACGGTTCCATATTTTCCCGGGGCCGGGTAGTCCCAGCTGTACTAATACTCGGCATTCCCGGTTTGCCGTGTCAGTACCTTTCTCAGACCTAATTAAGTTTTAAATTTTTAAATTGCGTTTGTTGTTCGTTGTTGCAAACAAACTGTTCATCGTCCCATTTCGTCGTCGAAGGAATTCAGAATTCTCAATCATCATCACGCCTGGGCTAATATGTTGCTATTGTTGATACAGTTTTTTTGTCCTTGACCAGATGGATAAACACAGCTATGACCGAGAGACTTTTCTCCCCCCTGCCTCTGGCCAGCGTGACAACGTCAAGCAGTCTTATCACAAAGCTCACTCTACTGGTCACGCGTCTTATGACAAGCCCAGGGAAGTGTATCCAGGGCGACAGATTGTCGCGTACAGCCCACCGAACGATATGTGCGTGTACAGTCTTGACGACCATCACCAACCTACAACCTCTTCCTATTTACCTCACACCGCCAGGCAGCACGGAGAATTGTTTTCGCAAAACCGCCAAGTGATCATTGAACGTTACCGATACGAGCAGGTGAAACGCGTGCAGGATTTATTTTCCTTTAAAAAAAAAAAAGTTTAATACGAGGGAAATTTTAAGTCCAATCTCAATTAAAAATGTTTTATGCTATTAGATTAGCGCCTTACCATTTTTGTTATTGTTAACGTCTATGACAATGTTAATTTATTATCAGTCAAAGAACCACGTACCATCGTCGGTTCCGAAATTTATTAGTTTTTGTTCATGAATTTACTTGAATGACCATTTTCACCCGTTGCAGCTCTACAAATGTTGGATAAGCCATTTGATACTCAGCATCTTTGTTATCATTTTTTGCGCTTGGCCCTGTGGTTTTGCTGCCTTCGTGAAGGCGTTTAAGGTAAACTAGAAAATATAACTGTGTGCTACAAGTTCTTCTGTATGCTCAAGTTAGGAAAATAAATACATTAAATTAAAGTCATTGACGATGCTACAAGAAAGAATATAATATTTCTTTTTGCATCTACTAAAATTTACTAGTTGAAAAAATAATGTGAAACAAGTTAAGGTTAGGCTTTGAGGGAAAAAAAATATTTAAAGATCGTTTTGGTCAAAAGCTTCCTTCAACAGACAAGACAAAAACAAGAAAAGTATGTGTTCGAAGATCTCATTGTAGCTATCCCAGTCTGTGTTCAGAAACGAAAACGATCTAGAAACGGATATCAACTTCAAGCCTAAATAATTAATTTTATTTTTTGCTCCTCTATTTATTGACTTTACGCGACTTGAACGCAGCTCTTCATTTAATTAGCGATCTGGAAAAGAAAAAAGTTTTACAGACTGTGAAACATTCAACTAAATAAACGAAAATTTCTAATTAAGTAGACGCATGTTCCACTTACAGTTTGACCGATTAACATATGTCTACAGATGAAGGCTCATGGGGGTGAAAGTTCATCTTATGCTGATAGTGAAACCATTAGAAATGTTGGGTCAAAGATTTCAAAAAATATAATCAGGCAACGATCTTTGTCATGAGGATTAACATTTACATTAACATTTACATTAACATTTACATTAACATTTACATTAACATTTACATTAACATTTACATTAACATTTACATTAACATTTACATTAACATTTACATTAACATTTACATTAACATTTACATTAACATTTACATTAACATTTACATTAACATTTACATTAACATTTACATTAACATTTACATTAACATTTACATTAACATTTACATTAACATTTTTTCTTAAAAAGTATTTTATTTTAGTTATAAGACCCTTGACTAATTTTTACAGTAATTTGAACGGGGGCTTTGAGTTGAGATCGGAATAGAGCCCTATTTTAGACGTTAATTTCGGTTTTGGTCGTCAGCAGGGTTCGGTTCGGGTTCAGTAACAACCGAAGCTCGGGTTCAGTGCGTTTTGTAACATGAAATTAATTTGGTTTTAATTGAAAATAGAGAAAAAATATTGTACACGTATTATAAACATAAAAGTTATATATAGAAATTTAAAAAAACAAACATTCTTAAGCCATTATGATACACCGAGATCTGTACTATAATATAACTATAAACAAACATCAGAGTCGCTCAAATTTAATAAAAGGAAGGAAACATTCATTTGTATTGGGTTTAAGGTTAGGGCTTCTTGAAGGACGATTCCAAATATTTTTTTAAGTAAAATCAATCCTTTCAACGAGACGGGCTACATTTGTTTTGTCAATCACAGCGCAATATTTTCGCAAACTTCTTGAGTAAAATGAGTAATCAAATGAAAGATAATTGAATGGACTATATGTTTGTAAACTTACTACTTCAGTTTAACTAAAATAAACTACCACAAATAACATCCGAATAGGAATTAGTTTAAAGGGACCCGGCTTCGAATAGCGGCTATGCGGTTATATTATACCCATTCCCTCGTCTACTGTTCTTTGACTCCCCTTCCTTCGTCTGCGGTTCTTTTGCCTAAAGTTCCTTCTTCTACGGTTCTTTTGCTCCCATTCCTTCATCTATGGTTATTTCGATTCCATTCCGTCGTCTACGGTTCTTTTGCTCCCTTTCCTTCGTCTACGGTTCTTTTTACCCATTCATTCGTCTACGGTTCTTTTGCTCCCAATTCCTTCCTCTATGGTTCTTTTTCCTCCATTCATTCGTCTACAATTGTATTATTCCAATTCCTTCATCTACGGTTCTTTTGTATCAATTCCTTCGTCTGCGGTTCTATTATTCCCATGTCTTCGTCTACGGTTCTTTTGCTTTCATTCTTACGTCTACGGTTCTATTATTCGCATATTTTGGCTACGTTCCTTTTCTCTCATTCCGTTTTCTACGGTTCTTTTGGTACCTTTACTTCATCTACTGTTATTTAGCTTCCATTCCTTCGTCTACGGTTTTTTTATCCCATTCCTTCAATCACGTTTTTTTATCCCATTCCTTCAATCACGTTTTTTATCCCATTCCTTCATTCACGTTTTTTTACTCCCATTCCTTCAATCACGTTTTTTTTATCCCATTCCTTCAATCACGTTTTTTTTACTCCCATTCCTTCATCCTCGGTTCCATTGCATTGACTTCATTGTTCACGTTTTCTTTGCTTTCGATCCGTCAGACATCCGTCTAAGTTCCTCTTATTGAAATGTCAATCCCGTGAGTTTCCCATTCTCATATTAACACGGTGCCCATGTTACGCGCGTCAATCAGCCCGGCCCAGTTAATCTCTGTCCAAAGTGACATCAGAACATCGCAGCCAACAGCTACTGTAAACGAACTACTTAACATTAACTCAAAAAACCCAGTCTGCCTACCAATAAAATTAAAACTATATACCAATAAAAAATAATATTACTTTTATTTTCTAAGAGCTCCATTTTTTCATTATGCCCTCAGATACGTATATACAGTAATGAAGGCAGGTACCAGGAAGCCGAGAGCTATGTAAAAGAGGCAGGGAGGTGTAGCATCATTGGCATCGCTTGTGGGATACTGTGCTACCTAGCTTTGGGACTCTATATTTTTCTTCAATCTAAACAATCATAATTTATTTCAGAGAGCCTCATCGTTTATGCAAATTGCTTTAAAAATATTTTTTTTGATTAATGGAAAGTTACTGATGTGATGTGACCGAATAAAATGTAGGTCTATTTTAATCAATTGAAAGCCATTGACGAGCCGTTTAGTAAACATATTAAATTGCAGACATGAAAAGACAGTTTTATTTGTAATTATGCTATCCAAATTACACCGAAGTCAAAATAATATATAAAATGATATTATATAATAACATATATTTTGAGGCCATTAAAATAGCTATCATCACCCATGGCACTACAGCCCACGTGAGGTTCTGGCCTGCTCCACCACATTCTTCAATCACCCATGGCACTACAGCCCATGTGAGGTTCTGGCCTGCTCCACCACATTCTTCAATCACCCATGGCACTACAGCCCACATGAGGTTCTGGCCTGCTCCACCACATTCTTCAATTCAGGTCGGTCTATGGCTTTTCGTCTCCAAGCGCGGACAAATAAAAAGGGTATCCTCAGATTTTAAAACAACATATTCTGATTTTGAAAACTGCAACCGAAAACCTATAAATGCACCAAATGTTTATGATTTATAGATAAGTTGGCATACATAGGAAGATCGGGGGGCATATGAGCGATGTAGCGTTCAACTGGAGTTTTTAAAAGGAGTTTCTTGAAGAGATTACATCATAGTTTTTTTTTTATAGTGTTTACATTTGTTGTGTAGATTAAATAGAAGGAATTGACTATCTCTGGTAAACGAAAATCTATAAAAATGTAATCATCACAGAGACGGTGGAGTTAGTAGAAACCTAATGGAGATGTGTTGAATTGTGAGATTTTCTGTTTCCTTTTGTTGTTTGTTTGCTTGTTAGATTTTTGTTTCCTCTTGCCAACTTAATACGCTATAAAGTTATTATTTAACGATCAATAAAATTTAATGTTTAATAAAAATGAATGCACATTTTTTTTTTCGTTTGTTGTTTGAACACGGCCAACAGACTAAATGCTTCAAACCCGTTGATGAAAGCTTCAATTATGTGTTGCAACAAGTTAGAATCTCTTTTACATAGAAGTTTTCAACTGTATAAGGTGGAGAAGACCGGATGCTAAATTGAAACCTCTTCAACCTTGGAAACAATTTGAAGGCCCTGCTCGACGACCAACAAATATCACATGCAGGAAAAATTGTCCTGCGCAAGAATAGATTTCAAAATGAAATTGTTTTCTAGCGGGCGACTGAAGATAAGATCAATAACTCAGCATTTCTGGGTCCACACGATTTCTTGGAGGTTAAGTGATACATAGATTTTTAAAAAAATCATCTCTTCCATTGCACTTCAATATGGTGTAGAATGTTGCAAACTAAATGCAGGTATGCGCTAAAATGCATTCTTATATTTTTAATATATCGAACATTTTCTGAGTATCATAAATTTATAAGGGGCGAAAATAATCTAGTGCAAAAGTATATCCTCAAGTGCGTAACAACTGCAAAGAATTTAGTTGAATTGGGGCTGGAGCGGAGCAAGATATATTCCTGAACTTTACTATGGCTAAATTTGGCACTTCCCACCCGAACGTTTAAAATACCTTTTCAAAATTTCAAAATCGTCAGAAAGAAATACCGAATCCAAGTATGCTCCAAAATATATCCCTGCATTTTGAATTAGCATACAAGTTTCAAGATAATCAATTTCTACTCCAACTTTCCTCGTGCTGAACAATCTTCCAGTTAAGTTTGAATCTAAGTTTGTGCTAAATGATTACTAAGGCCACGCGACTACCGTATTACATTCAGATAATGTATCGCATTGGGCGCCATAATGCTCGCCACCCTCAGGTATACTAAAAAATGCACCTCTTGATTTTTAAATAATCAAACAAATTCTCCAGACCCCTCTTCCACCCAAGACTCCTCGTAGCACTCGTTTTCTGGCAAACTTCCCGACAAAAATAATCGCGAATTTTGATACCGATAGATAGTCTGCCTAGTTTCGTTGTTAGTGTTAGTGCCACCATTTGGAGGGCCAATACTTTTAGCACACTTCCTTTCACGAGAATATCTATGTAATTGCCCGAATATGACCCTCTTTCTCCATATAAAGACATGTGAGACCTAGATGAAGCACTCCATCCACCACTGGCATGGGCGTAGTTCGAGTGTTTTTGCGCCAGGGTAACATGATTCATTTTAACGCCCATTTCCTCAATATGAAAACAATTATTTTCGCCCAATAAATACGACCTAAGCCCATTTCGGGTTCCCGCTGGTCTGGCGCACGGGGACATCTGCTCCGCTGCTTCCCATTAGCTACGCCCCAAGCACTGTCCACCCAAAAATCTGAAAATCCCCCCCCCCCCCTAACCCCACGCCCGGAGAAAATAATCCAAATGAAAGATTGCTGGGAAAGAGAAATATACGGCTCCTGCATTAAAACAATTATTTTCGCCCAATAAAAACGACCTAAGCCCCTTTCGGGTTCCCGCTGGTCTGGCGCACGGGGCCATCTGCCCCGCTGCTTCCCATTAGCTACGCCCCAAGCACTGTCCACCCAAAAATCTGAAAATCCCCCCCCCCCTAACCCCACGCCCGGAGAAAATAATCCAAATGAAAGATTGCTTGGAAAGAGAAATATACGGCTCCTGCATTTCCCGAAACAATTGCAAAACGCTGAAGAATTTGAGACGTTGCTACTAGTTCTCGTTTTACTTGGATCCACTTAATTCTAACATTGTTGGATACAAGACACACTTTTGATGTACCCAGCTAAATCATAGCATAATGATTGATATTAATTCTTAGTATTTAAAATAGTATGAATCTTATGGGTAAAATAAAACCAAGATATTCGCACAGCAAGACCCACGTTTTGAGGAAACAAAATCAAACGTTCATAACTAGACACCAGAAGATATTGATGCACGGAGCTACATTATGTGAAGGTATTTCATATATTCTTACAGTTTTCTATGAACCCATCCATGGAGTATTTTTTTTAATCCATTCAAGATATACAGTGTGCGCAATCGACACATGATCGCTTAATATTTTGAAACTCGATAAATAATTTGTCATCAGACTTGACAATTTTTAAAAATAATTTCAAACTATTGCTGTGTTTAATATTGGATCCCTGGCAGAGCGTTCGTTCCTTTGCAAATCGTCCGGTGTAACTGTCAAGGGTATGAGAGTCGTTGTTAGCGTGGAATGGTTTTCACTTTTTTTTTTTTTGTGACTAAAGGTGTTTGGATGACATGAGAAGGAAATCTTTTAAACATTCTTTAGAATTTAAGTGGGGTTAGATACAGAAAAGAACCAAAATTCGTGGAGTTTGCTTTGCCCAAAGTTTCTGTCTTAGTGTAGCAGTGTAGCAGTCTGTTGCTTGGCCACAAGATCTCGATAGTGAGTCTTGGGATTGGACTTTCTTCCTAAGTATGAAGTGATGTTGCGATATACATTTGAAGTGAATTAAGCTTAAAGAACTGTTATTGTAATAAAGAGTTGCTGTCGTTGTGTTCATAAGTATTAGCGTGATGCCTTTTTTTAAAAATATAATTGACACTAGAAACGGGATCCAGCATTAAATGAAGGGGGCAAAGGTAGCAGTTAAAACGGATCTATTGACAGCCAGCATGTTTAAATCTTCGCGTTGTGTTAAAATACTCGCAGGCACACCGAATATTGGAACGCAACAACTTTATAAATGACTAGAGTTCTTCTTTATTCCGTGTATCTGTCAAGCAGAGTCACCTGGTTACAGTATCTCCTCATAACTACACAGCCTATCCATAAACACAGGAGCTGTCACTTAAGAACGTCTCATGACTATGTGCTTAATCAACTCTCTCTCTTCCACTCACTCTATCTCACGACTTATATCCACGCACTTGTTTATTCTTCGATACCTGTCATCCAGTGACCATTCAGATACAATAATAACAGTCATGACACAACTCACGGATCCAAACAGCGATCATACTACTAACAGGGATGCTCATATCCTTGACACACTGTAGGTCTTTTTTTTTCTTTTTAATTTAAGTTGTCCGCTCTTAAAATCTGTTCCTGTGCCGGGGAGAGCGGGAAGTTATAATTTTTAAAAATTTTGTTTAGATTTTCACTGGTTAAAAATATGGCAACGAAACTGAGCTAAAGGAGACAATAGAAAACTGACGTTATGAAACTATGGCTGAGGGATAACCCTTTTAAAAAAATATAGTTCCCATAAAAATGGATGAACTATTCAAAAAACGTCTATACCTCACTAAATTTCTCATAAAAATAACTCCATTAAAAATTCAAACTCCATGAACTGTCTGGACCTTACGCCACATATTCACACAATTGTTTGTATGGTCATTGGATGACAGAGAAAACCGTAGCAGCCACATTTACACAACTCACGACACAACTCGCTGGTTAAAAAGTGTTCACACTGACAACAGTGATTCTCATGCCTTTGAAAAACAATAGAACAAGATACAGAACAATTAAACGGTCCGGCTAAACGCCTTCTTTAGCAAAGCTCTCTGAGTCACATTGTAACACTTTCAGATCACAACGTAGTAATGTAGCTCTCGCGGTCACAATATCTCAGTCAAAATGTAGCTCTCTCAGTAACATTGCAGCACTCTTAGATCTCAACGTCACCATGTAGATCTCTCAGATCACAAAGAAGCTATGTCACCATATGAGAAGAAACAAAGTACAATAATTAAATCAAGAGCCAAATTCCCTCAAAACGATAAAATGTACACATTCCAATTATTTGTTCTATGTGTCATGTCAACAATTATTATGGACAGACGACCACCTGATATGTACTGTGCCCAGCCATACGAAGGGAGCATTAAGAAAATTAGTAAGATCCAAATGTAGGTCACTAGGGTTTGTTGTGGCGCAGTCACAAAAGTGAATGAAAGGGGCGACAACATTTTTAAATTACGTAATTTCTTGATGCTACTGTCCCCAACCTCAATTTTATTACATTTAGATTACTCATCCTTAACTTTTAATATAAGATGCTATATAAAATCTGATTGTCGTTTATGTAGTTATCGAAGTTGGAAGCTGTAAAAGCCAAGCAATGTCCATCCTTTCTATCCGTCCCATCCCTGTGGCGCTACAACCCCATGTAGGGCTTTGGCCTGCCTCACCATGTCCTTCCATCCATCCCTGTGGCGCTACAACCCCATGTAGGGCTTTGGCCTGCCTCACCATGTCCTTCCATCCATCCCTGTGGCGCTACAACCCCATGTAGGGCTTTGGCCTGCCTCACCATGTCCTTCCATCCATCCCTGTGGCGCTACAACCCCATGTAGGGCTTTGGCCTGCCTCACCATGTCCTTCCATCCATCCCTGTGGCGCTACAACCCCATGTAGGGCTTTGGCCTGCCTCACCATGTCCTTCCATCCATCCCTGTGGCGCTACAACCCGATGTAGGGCTTTGGCCTGCCTCACCATGTCCTTCCATCCATCCCTGTGGCGCTACAACCCCATGTAGGGCTTTGGCCTGCCTCACCATTTCCTTCCATCCATCCCTGTGGCGCTACAACCCCATGTAGGGCTTTGGCCTGCCTCACCATGTCCTTCCACTCAGACTGAACTAAAGCTTTGCTTTTCCCTCCTTGGATTTCCAATAGTTGTAGATGTTTTTCCCCATCATCCATCTATCTAAGCCTAGGTATGCCTTTTGAGCCGTTTTCCTCTGGGGTTTGGTCACTACTCTATCATTTTGGAAGTCTATGTATGCCCCGCCCAGAGTAGCCTACCCCTCTTTATTTCTGCTACTATCGTGGGATCCCAATATAGACTTTACAGTTACAGGTCGGTTCGTAATCTCCATCCATATTCATCCTTTGTTGATTCATATATTTTCTAGAGGAATTTCTATACTTTAGCGTTTGTTATAAGTCAAAAG